CCCCAAAACCCCAAAACCCCAAAACCCCAAAACCCCTTATTATATCTATAAATTATTAATTTGAGTTAATAAATTAAGAAGTCATATATGATAAGACTAATGATGTTACTTATATTAATCAATAGTATCTCTTATTTTGGTTGGTCACTTTTTTAGCACTTTCATCCCTTTCTATATTTGTCTATCGTGCATCTTCAAAATACCTTCCATTTTCTAAAGAATATTATAAGATTAGCAATAACTTACATTCTAATGCAATTAGTCCATATGGTTAGCTTTAACGATGTTGCCTTGAGAAGCATTTCTAATCATTGAATGCTTTCCTTAGAGATTAATTGGTTAGATTGATTGCATCTAAGGTATTTAGTTCTCATATCTACCAATAGCAGAAGCATGTTTAGGATTTACAAGTTGATACTACTTTTACTTGTTTTGACTAGGTATCACTACACTATCATATTTTCCCTTTGGTCCTTTGATATCAGCTAAAGGCTGCAATGATACTACACTCTTCGAATGCAGGTTATTCAGATTATTCTTGTTCAAAAGCAGACTCTTTCCTTTTTTGTTATTGCTCACGTCATATGAATCTCTAAGCACTAATTGGTTCTAAGGCTATGTTGTCTGATTTTTAAGACTTAGAATTTTTTCTTGGTAATCATTGAGGAGACTCTAGCTTGCATTTTTCTTTATTGTTTTCTTCTGCTACTTTTACTCTTCTAACTTTATTCTAAAATCTTAAGCTTTAGGCATTCTTTTGCGAGTAAAGTCATCAATGTCATGCTCATCTTCTCCACTAGCTGAGTCATTCATTATCATACCAGCTACTTCATCTTAATCTGAGTTACCCTGAATCAGATCCATAGGATTGAATTATTACTTTTTATCACCTGCATTATTAAAATCTTAGTAATGCATTTTCGTAAGAATATCTAGAGTAACTTTTAGATTTCTTCCCTCCTGTATTGGTTATCCTTACTTAGTATTTTTTATTTCTAAGTAGCTAAAGGGATTGGATGGCAATTGTTGTGCATAAGATCCAGCTTTAGTATTGTTATTCTGTGGCGACACCTATCGTCCATGCTAGTCACTTGATTTTCGATCTTGAGAGTTGTGCTAAGATTCAATGAGTTTCCTTTCTTCTACTATCTTCTTAAGTTTTTCTTATCTGAGTCGATCATGAGTTTTCTGAATAAACTTCATCTTTCTGATATATTTCTCATTTTATTCCATCATCTTGTCATTCTTGTCCTTTTCCCTCTTTTCTCTGATCTCCTACACTACCTTTTTAACATCAGAGAATGGTATTTTCTTAAATCTGACTTTGTATCTTTGGCCAGGATCATCCTCTGGTATTCTCTCATATTTTTCATGAATAAAGAAGGGCAGATGGAAGCCTTTTAGCTTTTTCTAATAAGCTTATGGTATATCTAGCTCCATATACTTGTATAATTCATCAAGTGTATGGTCAAGAGTTTTAGCTTTCAATTTTTGCAGCTCTTTTACAAGGCCATCTCTCTTCTCCTTTTGCTCTCTATCATTCTTCTTGAATTCTTTCTTTTCTTCCTCAGTAAACTTCTTATAAGGATTTTTATTCTCATTCTTGATTTAAAGGTATTTCACATGTTCATCGTCTCTTGCTTTGAACTCATCAGCTAATTTCTAGATTTAGTCCTCAGCTTCTTTCAACTCTTTTTCGTTGATCTCAATCTAGACCTTGTTGATCTCAAGACTAATAAGTTAGAGAGCTTTTATGAATTCATCAAAGATTACAGGCTTATGACAGCTACCAGCTTTATGAAAAATATTTGTAAGTAATTCCTTCTTCAAGCCTAATGATTTATTAATCTAAAAATCTTTGCAGAATTTCAAGAAATCTCCAACCTTAACTCTCTTACTAATATCCTCAAACTATTCAAATCTTATGTCATTGTAGGGTATATGCTGCTTTGAATATATGTTAAATACTTGCTGAAGCGCTTTTTGCCTTTTGCTGAAATTAAAATTATCTCTCTCATCTTCCAAATTGTTATTAATTCCAATACTAAACTACTGCTCATTACTGGCTGAGATAAAACTTGAATCTGGATTATAATCTGGATTTATTACAGAGATGAAATCATTATTCACACTTCCCATTTTAGTTGGGTTATTTTAACTTAGAATTGAGAGTTCTCTTTTCATTTGTTCTATCAATCTCTCAACTCTTTGTCTTTGCTATTCATCTTCAGTTGTTTTCACAAGTTCCTCATATTCTTATATAGTATTTTAAAGACTAGCCTTAATATCTTTATTAGCTTATTTTTTCATATGTTTCGTATATTCAGCATTCAAATCTATAGCTACGATTTTCTTATCTTATATGAACATTTTTAGAACCTTTTTGAAAGTTGAGAAGTCAAAAGCAGTGTTTAGCTTTTCCAATATATATAAATCATCATCAAAGAAAACTCTTTACTGTGATTCCTATCTAGCATCATAATATCCTTCTGGAGATTGTTATCTCAAACATTTGAGCTAAGAATTTCTTTTATTTGGCCTCATTTCGTGTAAATGCCTCCATAGGAATCTCTTAAATTCTTTAATAAATTTCTAAGAGCTGTCTTTAAAGCCAGCATACTAATTAGTCTCTTCAAATTCTCTATTATAGCAAAATACAACTCCAGCGATATATGCAATATCACTGAAAAGTTACTTTGACTGCTTTATTCTTATGAAGGCACTCTATTGATATCCTTGCTCTTGAGTTTTATTATATCTTTAGAATACTTCTTATAATCTTTCTTTATGCTTATCTAACTTAAAATTAAGTATCTCAATGCTCATTCTCTTACGCCAATTAAACTTTTCTTCATTTTAAAGTTTAATTGCTTTTTCCTCTTGTCTTAATGACTCTTCCATTTAACGTTCATATTCTACTTATGCAGGATCTCTATTTCTCTCTTTGTATTGATGGTCCAGCCAATAAAGAAAGTTATTCTTCAGCTCTTTAAATGAAAACTGTCTTTTTGCTTTCTCTATAAATAGAATCAGTTACAAACATCAATAATCTTACTTTGGAGAGTATGATTAATCAGAAATTCGATGTATGAGTCTAGTTCTACACCTATAATATCATCAGCTTTATCTTTAAATATGATTAAATCAGACACCTTTAGTATCTATTTTTCCTGGTCACTCATTAGTGCTCTAATCTTATCTTCATTAATAATGAAAGTATCGTGTATCTCTTTCTCTCTTAAGCCAAGTCTGCGAACCATTTGCCGATACTCTTAGACCTCTTTATCTTAGTTAGAACTGTCCTCATCCTCTTCATCTTATTCAGCGATTAAATTAGTATTGTCGACCTCTTGCAATTGCTCAGTATCATTCAACGCTTCATTATTCTAATCATCATTTTCTTGGAGAAGTTACTCATCCAAGTTGTCGTAATTCAGATATTATTAATCAGACATTTTAAAGTGCACAAAATGTTAATCTTTTATAATTAAAGAATAACTCTATTAATATCAGCATTAAATTTCACTCACTGTCTCGCTCTATTATAATATTGTTAATTTAAATTTCAAATTAAAATGAGTAACATTGCGGGTGTCGTTTAACCTACTAAGTTCCTACTAATGGTCATATAAATCATACTATTAGCTATAGTTCTAGAGACTAAGGTAACAATTAGTGAAGAGTTTAATTTAATAGAATGAATTTATTTACAATGGAATATTAAAGACTTTACCTACAACTTCTGATGAATATGATCAAGCTGATTAATAGTAAAATTTCTCAGACATTTTATAATGATCTTTTTAGCATTTCAGGAATAGCTGTTGTCTTTATGATATGTGTCGTACTTGAATTCCTCATAATGTTTTCTGGGATGACTTTATTTTTTGACAAGCTGAATCTGATTCAAATTTGCTTTCATATATTTGGAATAGTCTCATCTGCATTATTTTGCCTTGAAAATAGTCACTATAAAAATCTATGGAAGATCTGGATAGTAGGAGGGTAAGATTAACTTGAATTAATTAAATTTAAACTAGAATTATTCCACTAATGATAGAAATAACGAATGCTATATCAGCTAGAGTGCACTTCAAAAGAATAATGAAGGATTATTGAAAATAATTATATATATTAGAGTCAAATGCTTAATTATATTTTGATTAATTTTATTTTCTTAAATTAATCTCTTATTTCATCAAAGGGGTTTTGGGGTTTTGGGG